TGAAGACACCCACGTTATACTCTTCAGGAAACACAGACTTTGGCAAAAAATCCAGTACTTAGCACTTAGCAGTCCCCATAAATAAGGAAGCTTGAAGCAAAGCGCTGCGTGCGAGTTGGTGGGATATCCATTGGTGGCGTTTCGCCGATTGTCTTGTGCTACGATGTTGGAAAGGACTAAGAGGAATCAAGTTGTGTTCAATTCCCACACACACACACACACACACCATTTAATCTATGTTCAATAGAGAACAACAGGGTGACACTTATAACTATTTTTTTTTTAAGAGATTGTTCTCTTTCTTAGCCATAAGGCCGGCTTTAATGTCCTTCACGGGTGTCAACCAAGTGAAGAACATATAAATGAAGTATTTATTCTGCTAGAGGTCTATTGTTATCTATCGGTAGTGCTGATAATGGTGGTGGTGATGATAGTGATAATGGTGGTGGGACTTCATTTTCATCTATCTGCAGAAATTTTCTTACTATACGGCACGTGTTAAGTATTGCAGTTTTCTGTAATTTAATGTATGTTGTGTCTTTAATATTTAATAGCTATTAGTATTTTCTCTGCTCTATAATAATTTATCCTAGTCTATAAATAACTTACAAAGTTCTAGAATTCTCAATTACAGTTAGCCAATCAGAAGATTGTTTTAATTTGTCACAACTATATTAAGAGCCAGCGTTGAGAGACGTGACCATATTTGTTAAAGATAAAGTGCTCAAGGGACGCTAGTTGTGACGTCACTTAAGAAAAATCTAGACTACTTATTTTGCAAAATGAGTCATTGGTAAAAACTTATAGTTTGTTGTGTTTGGTATTCTTTTAAATAAAATGTTTAACACGCGGCTGAAAAAAATATGCTTCGTATTTTCCACACTTATTGATGTGCACCGAATCTTTTTGAATAAAGAATTTCTTTGCTTTTAAATTGTTGTCGATTTATTTTGAAAAGGTTGTCATCGAGCTGTGTTTTATTCGAATAAAATATGTAATGTTGATTTATAATATGAATCGGTATGATAGTAGAGATATCAAACCAATAATTAAGTTTTAGTAATAGACAATAATAAGTAAAACAGAAGTCCGGTAGTAATTTACATGGCTTCTGCTACATACTAAATAACCACCAATGGCCACTAGTAAAAATAAATTAAAAAGACATTTAGTAATTAGCCTAAGGTATTTTTAATTTCTTATTAATAATAGATATTTGTAACAAAGAAAATACCTAGTTATAAGTTTATCAACCTATGAAGAGTGTGTATACTTTATATATCAGTTCAACTACGCTTGATTGACCACTGTCGCGCTTGTCGTACTTAAGCGAAGTTACATTTACTTCCTATGGAGATAAATGTTTACATTTTGTAACAAATCAATGTCATAATGCCTTATAATTAATCCCAAAGGAGTATAATAGGATTTGACAGAGGTATATACATGTAGAATGCCAGTTCTCACAGTTACCTATGTTTATGAATCCCATAGCATCACATATCTTTTATACCCGAAGGGGTAGACAGAGGCGCACATTACAGCACTTAATGCCACTGTACAATGTAACACCCACTTTTCACTATTTATGTTATGAGTCCCATGTAATAGGGGGTGAGCCCATTGGTATATACCGGGCACATTTCCAGATTCCGTGCTACTACTGAAAAATAATACTTTGCGCGATCCGGGAATCGTTCCCGACACCCCTTAGACAGTATGAATCCCATGCAACAGAGAATGCGTCTATTGGCATGAGAATGCGCCTATTGACATGAGAATATACCTATTGACATAAGTACACACGGAACAAAATTCTGGACCACGCACTAAGTATCTATGACTGAGAAATTCTCAATAAAATTTAGCTAGACTTTGCAAAGTAAGTTTAGTATTAGTTTCATAATATTTCTCAATATTCACCTAGATTATAACTGACGTGTGCAACGTACAGGATAAATTATTATTAGCGTTATACTCAGCTCTGCCCACGACACTATGTGTTGGCTAGCTGTCGGTTAGGGATTACTCACAATACTCATATACATACATGTTATGTATGTAGGTACATACACAACTAAACAGAGACTCGAATGAAAAGTTCCCGAAATACAATCGTTTTTGGTTAAAAACTTCGAGTGATAACACTCCTTGACGAAATACACGATGACGTCGCTTTTGTTTACTTCATATGCAATGCTTTTTTCTTTTAAAGGGAGGAATATCATCGAATGACTGCTCCCGCCTGGGTGAGGCGGGAGTTAGTGTCAGACTCTTACTGACTAAAAACCACCCCGTTCCTTGTCCTGCACGTCGAGCCGGAGCCCCGGTTACCCGTTAGGTTCTCCGCGACATATATGCAATGCTTAGGGCCTGTTTCACAATATCTGGATATTATCTACAATTTGTATGAACTATCTGTCACATAAGTTTATCAGGTACTTATATAGAGGTGGTGAAACCGGCGCTAAGAATATTAGATAGAGGGGTACCTATACCTAGACTGGTAAGTCTAAAATTATAATGATAAATTAATATATAAACGTAGGTATATACGTAAATAATTATGGTAACCGATTCTCTATCCCAACACAAGCTTAATAGGGACGATTGTTCCAACGCCAGATAAATTTTACCTGAGGAATAGCTTTGAATATTTGACAATTCAATTATAGGTACCTACTAATAAAAACTGTAAAATGTCAATTTTATTCTATAGTTAAAAATTAACTGATTATTGAAAAATAGACCCTATTAAACTTAAATTGTGTGAAGGCCAAGAAGCAAAGAAGAATTGGAATGATAAATTGATAACAGTGTATGAAAATTAAAAATATAGGTAATTAGTCCGTTAGTTAAGTAATCAAAAAATATAAGACACGTATTTTTTATTTTGTCGTAAAATAAAATAATACTTAGATAAAACGAATCAAAGTTTAGGAGTGGGGCTTAAACGTCATTTCTACGTATAAAATGTACATAGAAGTGACGTCACGCGACATTTCAAATCAATATATCGTCGAAAGTATTCGTTTCTATAAGAAAATAAAAAATACTTGTTTAATGATTTAAAACAATCTACCAGACGAACAATAAAATAAAAATTAGGCATCTACCGTATTCTTTAGTGTTCCCACTCAAACCTAAACCTATGCTTAATTAATCAGCCTGAGTTTGATTAGCATTCATTCAATCTGTAAATGTCTACATGCCTAGGTGTCTACACATGTAGGTATGAGTACTTATTGCTACCTTTTGGTACCTAATAAAACTATTTGTCTGAACTCGCCACATAACAACAGTCGTATAATAATATTGTTAACATTTATACACCTTGTATTATTCCACTGAAACTGAAATTAGATTAAATAAACAAAGCTATTTATAATAATATGAGCTTGGTACATACCAGTTCCAAAACCGATACAGTACATCGTATTACTCAACAATTGGATGCATTTGTTAGACTAACTTCATGAATCTAACCTAAAGTTACCCAGTTATAAGTCATAGTTGTGTACAAAATTGTGTGCCAACCACGTGGGACTCAGTTAAAGTCCCTAGTCGAATAATGTAGTAAGTCCGCTCCACAGGGCCGGAGTAGGACCTCCTCGGGGCCCAGCATAAACAAGGGCCCCACAATCAAACTGTCCTCTGCCTTAAAGTTCTTTTTTTATAATTCAGATTTTATTATAGTATGTCTAAGGTCCTCAAATCTTAAACTTATGAAATTACTCTCTCCTGTTTAACCCTGTTCAGTTGGATCAACTTGATCTTGATCAAATAAATAAAAGGTACAAATAATGTCATCATTAAACTATTCATCAACAAATGGGTTAAAGAAATAAATACAACAAAACAAAACTTCTAAAAATGTAGGTAGATGTTGTCCCTGATTATTGCTCTGTCGATATAACAAAAAAGAGACAATTTAACTCGTCGAGTACCGGTTTTGTAGACACAATTATAGAAGAATAGGTTGCGGTCACCGGTGACCGCTTGGTGTTTGACAGTTTAAGTCAAAATTCAAAGTCAAAGCATTTATTTCATTTATTCCTAAATTAGGCACTTCTGAAACTTCAAAAATTGTCCGTCCGTCTGTCTGTCAGTGAAGCAGACGCTCGTCCCAAAGTGTAGTTTGATTGGAGAAGAAAAAACATGAAACTCTATCGTTACTGTTTAAAAAAAATGTTTATGTATCAATTAAAACTTCTTTATAGATTCCGAAAAACACGTACCTATTAACATTATTATTGTAGTATGCTGAGCAGAAATCTTTTTTTAATCTTTGCTAAAAATCATGTTTTTCCATCTTCTACTTCAAACTGACTAAGACGAGCATTATGTTAACTTCACAGACTAACTAAACTAGCCCCCTTACATTAATTATAGATAAAGTTATAGTGGTATTTAAGTACAGAAATGTTTACCAAAACAATGTTTATCTAAACATCATTAGTTAAATATCGAATACTAAAACTAAACACTACTTATCATAGAAATGAGTTTATTGACAACACATACTGTGATGTGATAAAGTAAAAGCGGTCACAGAATCAATATTTAATGTTATATCAACTCTACTTTGGCCTTCCATGGCACTGCGCAACTATACTCACTAAACATGAATATTAATTAAATAAACAGCAATAACAGCAAACTTAACACTATCGAAATATGGTGCTTAATAAACATCGATAAAAGTTTATTTCGCATTTATTCAATGAACAATGAACAATTTCATATGACCGCGTGTATCAATAGAAAAATACATCCAACATTAGAATAGGCACCTACATTATGTCACACATATAACGATAACGCAATAAAATATGTAATAAGAATAAATTAACAAAATTCCATTCGGTAAACACACAAAATTTTGTACTTAGTAATACTCGTTTCGGAATTATACGCGAAGCAAAATAAACTAGAAATAGACACGACACTTAAATAAAAATGTATAGAAAAAGTAAGAAAATTAAATAAATATGAAGTACCTTTTGCCATATTTTGTTGCTAGTCATGTTGGCTGCGTGTAGAACCAAGTTACACGAACACGAATGTGCGTCTCCTGCGCCAAGCGACTGACAACTGCCGGAGCCGGGAGTCGAGCGAACTCGAACACGGCACACAAACAACTTCAAACAGGCAATGTACGTCCCGCGCCCACCCATGTACTACGTCACTATATACAAAAATACTAATACAACGCGCGTTACATACCGCAGTGATGACTAAACACTCATTTAAAGCCAGCGGTGTATGTTACTCACTGAAGAGATGTGACGAGTTATGATGCGCTGGCGGGGACTGCAGTGCGGGGTTCGCATTGCCGCCAGTTTTTGTCATATGTTCGTTATGAAAAAAATACACTGCATTCCTTATGGGATGATAGTGCGTGCCATTAGGCCCTGACTGAGTCATTTGGCTGCTTTGGTATTATGATTTTGGTTATTTGTACAATACTTATGCATGTGTCATCAATGAATGTTGATTTATGTGATATGTTCTCATCCCTTAAGTAGAAAAATAACATTCAGGGTCTGTTTCACAGTGTCAGGTTAAGTTAACTGGCATAGATGTAAAATATATCATAATATCCCCATTCCCCAGCCATAGGTACTATTGCAATTATAAAATGGGCCCTAAGTAGGTATTTATAGGTAACAAAAAGCACAAAATAGTCCTAAAATTGTGAACAATTTATTGTAGCAAGCTTAAACTCTTTGCTAGTTGACCAAGATTCCACACTAGTTGGGAAAAGGCCAAAAGAAAGAAAGTATATCACCAACTAATAATAGGGATGATGACAGGGTTTGAAAAATAAACATCTATTTATTTCGGTAGTTAGATAAAAATATTATACAATTATTTTTGATTTGACGACATAATAGTGAAAAATATAAACGACAACTTTCATAAAATTAAAGTTGATATATCATTCGTCATCATGTCCTGTTTGCAACTAAAAATAATTAATTAGTGTTACTAGTACTAATAAAATTAGTAACTGGCAAAAATAAGTAAATTATGCCCCTTAAAGCCCTCGGTGATCCAAGCCCAGAATTGATTTTAATGTAAACAACAAGAAGTCAATTGTATTGAATTAAAATGTAGAATACGTGACGCCTGCAGAAATAAGACTAGCAAATTACGCGCTCTAGTAACATATATTTTATTATCGAAACATACCTGCACTTGTTCCTTTTAAAAATCAGTGTTTTACCAAAAGATAAAATTTATATACCCTATCATATGACTGTGTTTCTTTATTCATGAACACGTGTTTGCACACCTGAACAACATCAATCCTGAACAAAAAAAGGAATAGATAATATTATATTATTATTTCATTTAAATATACGTCATTAGTTTTTAATTGATCAAAAATAAGTTCGTGTCTACATGGAATTGTTTGCATTATGATAATTATCTTATAATCATAATGTTTTCTTATTTCACACTTTTTATACTGCGATTGATACCAATTATCAATAAAGTTGACAGTCTACTTAGCAGTACAAGGACATCATAGGATATTTGCAACACCAGAGATATCACAAACACATCTTTATTTAACTCAGTCCTTTTTTCCTGTTTTAATACATACGTTAGCAACCCTGGGCCCCAAAAATATTGGCAGCCTTCATCGCATACCGAAGATTCAAGCGCCGGCCCTGTGTTTTACCATCGATCAATACACATTTTCACATTCTCATCCCAGTATTGCCAGTTTCATTCGCATCTTTTACCATTTTATAGGCAGATCGGAATTAAGACTCACCCTATAGCATTAATAAAACTGTTTCGAATTACGATTGCATTATTATAACGGTTTTATTTGCTAAGATATCTAAAATGCAAGGGATTTCCAAAATATTATTTGTCTTAAAAACAATAATAAATCTCGTTCATCGTTGGTAAATTTTAGAATGTACATGGCCATAATTTTCTTCTGTCACAATTTAGTTCCGGAAAATGCCACTGTTTATTTTGTAGATGTCGTGAGTGCTGCTTTGTGTATATAGAAAGCAGGACTCAAGCCTGTGATTAGGTGATCCGGTGCCTGCATACTGAAGAAGTCTTTGTTATCAGAGAAATTTGAAGTGTCAGAGAGAGGTGAGTACAGATTTTATCCTCATATTTATTCTGATCAAGTTACTTTACAAACGTGTTTGCTGTACTGTATTATTTTGAATTCTAGACTAGACTTATCTTTCTGCTTCGGGAGAATGTGTTCGTCCCACCCTCATACCCAAATTATCTAGCCAGGACACAGGGGTGGCTTCTAGTCAATCAGTTCGACAGTCCCCTTTGTCCTCCCCAGTTGAAGAGGCTCTTAATGTGGATAAAAAGCTTTTCTAATTTTCAATTCCTTTCATCGACAGTCTTGTGAACGTTGTAGGAATTACTCTAACTTTTAAGGAGTTGTTTATAGAAAAGTGTTTACTATGTATAATGATCATATTGTTAAATATCATAAGAGCTGTTTAGTTTGACTCTAGTGTCGGCAACTTTTGTGGGTATATTTTTTGAAGTTGTCAATTAAAATTGAAATT